TTACAACATTATCTTTCAAACTCTTATCTATAATTACACCTACACCATTTCTAGTGCGACTCTTACAAGAATACCAAAGTTTAAAACATAAATTATCAATCTCCTTAGCCTTTTCTCCAACTCACTTAGTTTCTTGAATACATAAGATATTAATTTTCCTATGAATCATAATATCAACTAATTTCATTAATTTATCATTGAGAGTACCTATATTCCAAGATCCTATCCTAATATTGATTTCATTAGTTTCATGAAATTCCAAGATCCTATATTCCAAGATCCTATCCTAACATTCCATAATTTTCCTACGAATCATAGTACCAAAATCAATGCATATTGGATAATTTAATTTCAAACTTTAAGTAGGGAAACCAACTTGATATCAAAGGAGTACCCAAACCACAATCCAAGTTCGAATTTTTATTGCCGAAATTCAAAAACAAGTACAAACGCGAACCCTTGAGGAAAATAGGAAAATAACAACACTCTAGGGTGGCGGTGAGGATGGTGGACGGCGGCTGGACAGCAGATCGGGGGCCTGGGAATGGTTGTTGTAGTGACTGAGAGTTGGGGAAAGGTTGCTGCAAGGTTTGGAAAGGGTTGAGGAGGCTTGTGGCAGGGTAGGAAGGGGGTAGTGCGGCTGGAGAATGCAGATGACGGAGCTGAATATGATGATAACGTGGCTGGGAATTGGGAAAGAGGTGCTGGATTGGGGTTGGAGGATGAGTCACGGGAAGGGAGGGGACTCAGATGGCTGAAAACAGTCTAGGAGCAATGAGGAGCTTTGGGAATAGAAATTGGGTGAAGGGAGATGGCCTGTAGTGGGCTCAAGAGATGCAAGAACAGTGGTTGGGCCAAACGTTGGAGAATTGGGAAAGAGGTGCTTGGGCCAAACGTTGGAGAACGGGAGAAGGGTGCAGCAACCAACGACTTGTCTGCAAGGGGATATACTACGGATGGTTGTATGGAGAAAAGGGCGGTTGGGACATGGAAGCTGTGGGAAAACCTATAGGCAGCAAGGAGGGGAGATGGAGGTGGATGTCAGAGAAGATAAATCATTACCAGGGAGAGGGATATAGTCGGAGCACCACTCTAGCCATCAGTTACAACCCTCAAGGGGGGAATAGGATGCCAACGGCTGTCCTATATTTCTGAAATCAGAAATAACATAAACTGAAACCTTAAGATCTTAAAACACATATAAATAGAAATGGGATGGGCAAGAAATGAAAATAAGAAGGTAGGAAATTTCCCTCCTAATGAAAAGAGGAGAGGGGCCGGTTCAACCTCCCCTCACAACTAAACTGGTTCAAGTCAAACCCGGTCAGCTTTTGGAGGAAAACTGCTGTGTCATTCTCCCAGGGCTGGGGGGCTTCAATCTTATTCGTCGAAGCTTTTGGCTCAACGTGGCACGCCATCAAGTCCTTTGATATGTCGTACAGGTAGACATTGTCGTTCCAAAGCATATTTTGATAGGAAAGATATACGTCCATCTTTGGCACGACCTGAGTTGGAACTTTAGCTTGACAAGTATCCCCATGAATCAGATATCGCGTCATCACAGTTGTAAGCTGTTTCTTCCATTCCTTGTACTCGGCTGGGTGCAACTGATAGGCTAGTATATGAGGAGAAATCTACTCTGGGTTGAAATTTCTGGTAAGCTGCGCCACTCTCACTGGCTCCTCCTTAGGAGAGACCTCACCTCCACAGATAGAATCTAGATTTCATTGCAGAATTTTTGTACTCATCAAACTCCTTGGAGCCGCTACAAAGTGGGGGGTTCATCTCTCATGTCTGGACATGTGAAGAGATGTATCATGTTGATTTGAAAGTAACATTTGGATAATTTCATGTAATGTTCTTGAGATGAAACACAATGACCTCATTTTTGAAATGTTGAACCTTCTTCCTTTGGCCGGAGGAGGTCTATACATCTGAAAAATTTGCATCTTGTTTATCCGGGGTGGACCTGTATATGATGTCGGCTTCTCAAACTCATAACTTTTTTAGACATCCAAAATCATTTTTGCTGATGTTCTTTTCACCGTCTGCAAGATGCTAGCTAGATGCACCATCATCTTATATGTTGTTGGACTGCCCATTACCTCAGAGTCACTACCTTCTAGAGTAGCAATTGTTATCTCAGTTGTAATCTCTATGTCGGGGTCAACTGGATTTGGTGGCGTCTCTTCTTCATTGGCTGAAAAATGAGAATAATCTATGAAGCCTGTATGTTCTTCCTGATCACCGTTCCTCTCTTCAACTGGCAGCTAGTACTCGTTTATGTCCTTACCGCCTTCAGTTTCTAAGTTGCCTTCCCAACTTTTCCATGACACCTTGCACGGTGAAATAGATCACTCCCTTAATTGTGCACTCTGGTTTCACATGGTAAAATGGCACTTGCAGCATTTTATGGCTGTGACAGACTTGTTGATCAGTTTTGTTGAATAGTAGCAATGGGAGATAGCTTGGTGATGCGGTTTTTCCACTTCAAAAGCTAGAATATGCAACTTTTTGCGGTAATAAGTTTGTAGGAGCTGACTTTGTATTTCCTTCTTTGTCTTTATATCTTCTTGTACCCACTTCGACTTTTCAGATCACGGTTGAGAGGAGCTTACCATTGGATTTCTTCCTCAATGTTCGTAATCCACTGCTGAAGTTTGCGGATCTCTCGCCGTATTTTCTTCCAGGAATGCTCGAGCATGCTTCTCATTAGTGGCATGGCTAAGGTTTAGAGTTGGGAGGGGAGAGAGGTTTAAAATTTAACTTTGTGTTGTTGATTTTGAAAATCAACAAGAGGAATTGAGGGTTAGGTCAAAGTTTTTTGCTATGGTTGGGGATAGGAAAGAATAAAAATTTTTGTGGGGTGGCTTGGGTGGAGGCGGATGCTAGGAAACCCTAAGTTGGGACTACGGTTTACCTGACTCTGATACCAAATGATATCATATGAGTACCCAAAACACAATCCAAATTCAAATTTTTATTTTGTTGAAATTCAAAAAGGATTACTAACACGGACTCTTTACAATAGGTAAATAACAACAATACAAATTTGGAAAACACCCAGGGTATTGGTGAGGGTGGTGTTCAGCGGCTGGACAGTGGATCGGGGGCTTGGGAATGGTTGTTGTAGTGACTGGGAGTTGGGGAAAGGTTGTTGCATGGTTTGGGATGGGTTGTGAAGGCTTGCGACAGGGCAGGAAGGGGGTAGTGCGGCTGGAGAATGCAGGTGATAGGGTTGAATATGATGATAACGTGGTTGGGAATTGGGGAAGAGGTGCTGGAGGATGCGTTACGAGAAGGGAGAGGACTCAGATGACAGAAAACAGCCTGGGAGTAATGAGGAGCTGTGAGAACAAAAATTGGGTGGAGGGAGATGGCCTGTAGTGGGCAGGAACAGCGGGTGGGCCAACTGCTGGAGAACGGGAGAAGAGGGCAGCAACCAGCAGCTAGTCTGCCAGAGGATATGCTACGAATGGTTGTAGGGAGAAAAGGGTGGCTGGGATAGGGAAGCTGCGGGAAAACCTGTTGGCAGCAAGGAGGGGAGATGGAGGTGGATGTCGGAGAAGATAAATCATTATTGGAGAGAGGAATACAGCCGGAGCACCGCCCTAACGATCCGATACAACCCTCAAGTGGGAGAATAGGATGCCGGTGGCTGTCCTCACAACTATGAAATCAGAAATAATATAAACTGAAACCCTAAGACCTAAAAACACATATGACTAGAAGTGGAATGAGCGGGAAATTAAAATAAGAAGGAAAGAAATTTCCCGCCTAATGAAAACATGGGACGAGGGGCCGGTTCAGGCCCCCTCACAACTAAACCGGTTCAGCTTTTGGAGGAAAACCCCCGTGTCACCACCATATTGCTTAGCTCAATTAAACCAATTGGTACTACATTTGCAGTTGCTGATATTGTTGGGAAGGTGCGAAAGCCATTAATGTCATTGAAGATCTCGTCTTTTCCGCCATCACACTTTTGTCGTCTATCTGTGGATCAGGGCGATGGAATTCAACTGCCATGTTCTCGCCGACATTGTTTCATTGGGACTCTTCACCTTGTTCATGATTTTCTAAGGCTTTTAGTGCATCAGGAGTGTAGCTTTTTTTGGATGTTTCCTAACATATTTTTGAGGGATATAATAGGTTATTTGGTGAAGGTAAGGGTGGGTGCTTTAGCTGTTATAGTGGAATGGAATGTGATATATCTTTTTCCCCGTATTTCAAATTCCTGCTAGAGTTCGTGTTTCCCTTTTGTTATTTTTGCTTATTTTGTGGCATCTTTGGGGTAACTGCAACATATTAACCTCTAATATCCTAGGGGTATTACCTCTAATATCCTAGGGATATTAATCAAACTGTGATCTTGTTTTAGTAAATGTGGATTAATAATTAGAAGTAATGAATCACTATACAAATCAATTCTTGTCATAATTATGTTGTGAAATATCTGTGTGGATATTGATGTCCTATGAAATGATACATTATATAGAAATAATGTGAATTGATCTTGAAAGAATACGAGTACATGGTCATTAATTTTCTTGTGAAACTTCATTATCACCATCATAGTTAAATGAATAGCGAAAATAAGATGAATAATCATGGATTGTTTGAGCATGTATAAATTTTTATAATGTGTTTTTCGTTTTTTAAATGTGTTTTTCGTTTTTTAAATTTTTTTTTTTTTTTTAATTCATCAATCTGTGTCTCGGACAAAAAAATTTCCTAGCTTTGCTTCTGTCTACATAGTTTTGAAATGGATGGTAAGTATCTAGCACAACATTTAAATTTAAGATGCATGTATTGGATTTCTTTTGAAATTCTATTTTGATAAAGGTGCACAGTTACATTCTATTTGACATTAGAATTTCATGGCTTATTTTGATAGGCAAGCTAGCCTAATGTGTTATAGTTTCGAAATTTCCTAGTCTGTGTTTTCACGTGGTTTTTTAATTGCAATAAATGCTTCTTAATCCGCATCCTATGGATCTCAGGGTTTTACAACTTATGCTGAGAGGAGAATTGTAGAGGCTGTGCAGGGGAAAAAACGAGCAGACCTGAATATTGGAATCGGGTGGAGGGGATTGAATGATGAAATGGAAAGGTTCAAAGACAATATGGAGTTTACGAAGTTGAAGACGAAACAGGAAGGTGTGGACCCTGATGATGTTTACTCTCAGGTGCCATATGAAAAAGGTTTCCAGTTCCTCTTGCGCATTGAACGCCAGGTGCAAGTTTAATTGAGGGTGTTTAACTTCTATTCATATATAGCTTGCAAAACCTTATCATGATACGTATTTCTTTTTCCTTCATTTTCCTTTCATGTCAATTCCTAATTGAATGGAACGTGCAGATTGGTCGCCCGGCTTTTGACGAGTTCCTGAATAAGTATATTACTACTTTTAAGTTTCAATCTATAGATACGGAGACATTTCTAGAATTTCTAAAGGCAAATTTGCCTGGAATAGAAAACCAGATTAATCTTCAGCTTTGGGTTGAGGGTACTGGTATCCCTCCCGATGCCATGGAGCCAGAGTCAACTATCTACACACAAATTGTGTCCCTGGCCCAAGAATTTAAGTTGGGAAAGATGCCAAGAGAGGATGAAGTGGTGGACTGGAATGGACAGGAATGGGAGCTTTACCTGGAGAATTTGCCTAATTCTGCTGAGGCTTCCCAGGTATAGCATCCATCAAAAGGTGTTTGATATTGCCGACTTCCTTTACATTATTATCCTAGTTCGTAGTTCATACATTGAACTTGCACATGCTAGATGGTTGACGACTCTCAAAGAGTATGTTGGTCATGTTCTGTTTTTCACTCATTTAAGCCTTGTTTCATTTGCCTGGTCAATTTTTTAGATATTCCTCATAACGCTTGAATTCCGATTATTTATATATAGATTCATTTTTTATGAACTTTTGAAAGTTTGAGATTATACCTCTTAAAGAAGCAATTCTTTTAATCATCTATGCTATTTGGACAAACCTTGTAGTGATGACTGACCTTGGTTTGGGATTTGAGCTTGCATCAATAAACAATTCCGTGCCATTTTTTCTTGTCCTATTTGATTTCCTAGTAAAATTTGTTCCATTGTCACATATTTTGTTGACCTTTTTAAAAGGCATCAACTATTTTTTTGCTTAGTTATAATGATTATGAAAATCATATGGTTGTATTTTTTAGTGGTGATTGCTTTAATGTACGAACGGGCTTTAGTTGTCTGTATTCTTTTATGCTACTTCTTTTGCACTTAATATTGTTAAGCATCCATTTTGTTGTTACGGACTCTATTTTGTCTATGTATTTATTCTCTTGGCTAGACATTATTTTGTGTGTGTCAAGTCTTACATTTTGTTCTCAAATACGTTTGCCTTCCTTTCATATTTGTTTCATTTACAACCTTTTGTCCACATACAACAGGAAAGTGCGAACATAAAAAAATAAAATATCAAATTGTTGTGTAGCGCAGTGAATGCTGTTAAATGTTTGGCATCTTAGTTAGACTTGAGCCTTGGTTCTTCTTAAATCAGACGTTCAATCAACATAACTCTATTAAACTTATTTCCTGTGATTAATTCCTGTTACTGCACCTTTCTTTACTAAATTTTGACAACAAAATCATTTACTACATAATTCATTATTGGCTTTGCCGGAGTCTTCTATTGTACCTTTTTAAATGTTCACTTACGTCTGAAAATTTAGACATCCTATTTTCGAAGTCTAAAAAATTAGGCACCATTTAGTTGTGTGGCTCTTTTATTTGGATAGAAACATCATTAGGCTTCAAAAAAATTGTAGTATGATGATAGATCTATCAACAATTTATTCCTTCGACTTCCCAAGCTTAACTCCATTGATGCGTGTTGCAAATTTAATTGACATGATAGATCTATCAACAATTTATTCCTTTCACTGCCCAAGCTTAACTCCATTGATGCGTGTTGCAAATTTAATAGACATTTTTCTTGCATTCCTACCCTCAAACATCTGGGGAGGCATGCTATATGTTGGGATATAAAACTCTAGTAGGAAGGTTCTCAACATTTTAGAGTGTGTTTTGTCAATCCTAATGTATCTTAAAGCATTTCATTCATAATGCCACTCGCCTACATGTACCTGCTCCTAGTATGCACTCACATTCTCTCTCATAATGCTGCGTTCACTTACCAACAGGACCTTGGCAAATTTCAAGTATCACGCAGTATCTATGATCTAAGTTTTCTCATATATATTTTTTATTTTTTTATCTTTTTGCTTTCAGGTCAGACCTTTCAATAGGTTTTTCTCAATTCATTTTCTTCAAACCCCACAAATACTGTCAAGCTTCCTAAGTGGTAAGCATCGGACTATGTTATTTGTACTTAGTTTCTATCTTCTTGGGCCACTTGTCCATTATTGTTTCAACTATTGTCTTAAGACTCCACAAAATATACATGTAGGATTTTCTTCACTGTGCATATTTGCATGAATGTAATATATCTGGTGTCCACCCTTTTTATTCTTAATTTTTTTTCTCTCCAACAAATTAATATGTTGATCCAGGATAAGGGGAATGTGGGATGAGCTACTTCAATATCACCCCTTAATTATCCATTTAATTATACAACAAAGGCAAAATAAAGAATTCTTATTGCCAAGTTTATCTTTGGCTCTCCTCTTTCTCTACAAGGTGTAAAATACAATTGATAACAAATTTCATAATCCTTAGGATTTTGTGGCTCTCTCTCATGTTCTTGCATCACACAGCTTTCTACTCCGAAGCCTCCCACTTTTGACAAATCAATCTTGCATGTTGGTTCTGGTATGATCAGGGGACTCGTAGTCATGTGGTGGTAATTCTATTGGCAGATGTAGTCAGGGACTTATTATCTTTGCAGTTCACCCTCTTACAAATTACCATGTTTATTAAAAGCACACTTCGAAGCACGCTTTTCATGCGAAGCAGTGCGAGGCGATGAAGTGTCGCTTCGCCTTGTGTTTGAATGATGCATGTGTGCGAAGCGGAGTTGTACTGGCTTAGGATGTGGTTTAATGTTTAGGATTGTCCAAGTTCAAATTTCGTTAAAGAACCGGTCTATTTATAAGCTTCAAAAAATCTTTGAGCCTATAATTTCATTCTCAATTGCAATCTTTTCCTCTACTACACCCACAAATATTTACCTGACAACAATTGCAAACTCAATCTTTATTGAAGAGCAACCACAACAAGCAGCCCACTATGTGGATCTTCATTGACTTAAGAACCACGGCCAACTCACTTAGAAGAAATCATTTTTTGTGAATATAAAATTTTAGGATTTTATGAAATTATAATATTCGTAATTTAGTGTTTAAATCAACAACAACAAAGCCTTAATCCCACTACGTGGGGTCGATTACATGAATCCTTTTTCTCCATTGCGTCATATTTTCATTTAATCACCATACTCAAAATACACCATACTCAAACCATCACCTTATCATAAGTTGAAAGTTCATCTACTTAAAAATATGAAATTGATTAGAAAGGGTGTGTAGAGAAAGGGTGCACTCTCATGTTAGATATGTGGATAATCTTAGAGAATAATGTATATTTAATGGTTAATCTATTATCTTACATAATATTCTTAGAGTTAATAGATGCATATAAATATTCAATACTTCAATTGAAGCTCTCTAATTCTTAGATACACAAATAGAACATATTAGAGCAGAGATCCTACTCCAAGTGGTTGCATATAATTACTATAGCTAGAATTTTGTAGGTTATTATTATTTAGTATTTAATGTATATGCATTTATTATTATTATTATTATTATTATTTGCATTGGAGAATGTGAACTCATCTTAAGCTCTTGAAGGTCAATGCTTATAAAAAAAGAGTTTTGCATGTACGAGCCACCATGTGAACCCATTGCATCAATCTGATGTTAGAAATATTGGGAAGTCTGTTCAGTTAAAATATACTATAAAAAATTTTAGAGTTAATTGACTGTACCTATAATCATAGACTTATTCCAACATTGAGTAATTGATGAGATTGGGTATTGCTCATTTTGTTACTTTTTTTTCCTACCCTATGTGAGATAAATAAGCCAAAAAAAAGTGTTATGTTTGTCACTGAAGGTTGAAGCAAGTCTAGAGTTAATGTTGATTACAAAAGAAAGGAAGCTAAAGAGATTACTCAAGTTTATTTTGGAATAGTGTGGGCTAAGATTTGACGATTGTAATCCAATTAACAAAGATGTTCAAATTAATAGATTGTGACTAGAGCTCAACACTTAATAATATTTATGATATAATGGACATAGTAGATGATGTAATTAGTGGTGCATTTGAATGAGATGGAAAGAAATAAGAGCAAGTTTTTTATATCATTGACAAAAAATGGAGTCATCAACTATGACAACCATTACATCAAGCTTGACATTAATATCTTTATCAAAAAAATTTTTGCAAGAATAAGTTCATAATACAATCAGATAAATAATTGATGGAAAGTGTTATGTTGATAAGTTAGTGGAAGACTCAAATTATAAAATAATCATAAACCAAGAATTTGATGTTTATAATTGTCCTAGTGGTTTATTCTCAACTGAATTCATTATTTTCAATAGAGATAATAAATCCTAGATTAATTGAAGTTTCTATATTATTTAGAATTTTTTATTGATTAGTTTTTTTTTTCTTTTGAACTTAACATGTAAAATTAATATAGCTGAGTCATGAGAAATATATTGTGCATCAGCCTGAATTTTATAAAAATTGGCTATTACAATTTAGGATTGACTGTAGTGTGTTGGGTATGAGAGAAATTGATCTTTGAAAGGTTAATGATTTGTTAATTTTCAATATAATATGCAATTCACAAGTTTTATTCATTTCAATATAATTTTTTCTATAAACTCACAAGATGAAGATAAATTGATTAGATAAAAGTATTTAAATGACCGTGTTCATTAAGTATAATCAATTTGCAAAGAAGATTTAGTTTGAGATATGTTATTCCAGTTAGTTCAGATTTTTTGATAAAAGATGTGAGTGGCTTGTTGGGAAAATAGATGATGCTTGTAAGAAACTTTTAGGTTATGAAAAATCCAACTTAGAGGCAAATTGAAGAGATATCAAAAGAATTTGACTGAAGCTGGTATCTATGAGATTTAATAAGTCAAAAATAAGAGAAGATTCATGCATAATCAGGGTTATTTCATCTTATTCTCCATCTGCTTCTATTATTTAAGAAAGAGAAGATGAAATTGACTCACAATAACGAGAAAATGATAATAGTTATTTGAAGATGATGAAACTCAACTTAAAAAGGGAAAAGAGATTATGCGAATGAATTAGACGATGGTAATTTGTGAAATTTGTATAGATTTTCTTATGAAAATTGAGGCTTTTTGCACCTAAATTTAGCTTATTCTATGAATTAAATATGTTTTTATGCAATTTTGAAATTTTAAATTTTAACATTAAACTACCAGATTAGTTTTAAATTTTAATCATTTGTTATCTGCACATATAGAAATTGTTAGAATTTTTATTTTATCCGTTCAGTTATGAAATTGATCTTCAAATTAGGTTTCTTTATTACTTTCTTTTACAATTTTATATCAAGTTTTAAGACAATTAAATATTATGGCATTTACATGCATAGCACACGTCTTATGGATTTACATCTCACACCAAAAATTTCATATTTACATCCATATCACTCAATTCTTTTGTATCACATAAAAAATAATACTAATTATCACTTTTTAATAGTTAAATCTACCTTTTCATGCATAGGTAAAATATTGTCCTTGGAAATATAAAATTTTAGGTGTGATATATGTAAATCCATAAGAATTAGGTGTGATATATGTAAATCCATAAGAATTGTGTGCTGCATATGTAAATTTTCCTTAAATATTTTATATTTTTTTTATTTTTTACTACATGTATTATTATATTTATTTTTTAAATTATTACTTAATGTAGTTTATACACTTTCTATGTAAGTTTTGGATGTCTAGTTAATAAAAGAGTTATTTATAATTGTTACTAAATATATATTTTATATAGAAATTGTTAGAGTTTTAATTTTTTCTATGCAGTTTTGAAATTGATCTTCAAATTAGGTTTGTAATTTTATATCATTTTAAGTCATTAAATATTCTATATTTTATAATTGTTACTAAATGTATTATTATATAAATTAGTGCATTTTATACTCATTACATATAAGTTTTGGATACTCTAGCTAAGAAAAGTATTGTTTCGCTTTGTGTTTTGCTCATCGAAGCAAAAAAAAGAATCTTTGCACCTTCAAAATACTAATTTCTACCAATTTTTCTTCTAATCTTTGTCGAGAGAAACTCAATTCTCTCCACTGCTTAATATACTTTCTACAGCTAGTCCATTGTCATCTACTCTTTTTTTCTATGATCTAAAATGAACATATGGTACTGGGAGTCCAGTGACCCTTGACTAACATATTTCGTCAGGATAAGCTCAAGCTATTTCATGATTACTCATTTTATTGCTATATTTTCCCATGTTATTATTTATTGTTTCACAATACTGTTACTTCATCCGATAAAAACTTTTCTTAGGGTATGCTTGCAATAATGTTAAAATTACTAGTCGAGCATGTTTGTATGTTTTTGAGCTTGAGCCACGCCCGAGTTTGAGTTGGAGTTTGATTATTTTAATCAGGTTCCATCTTGATTTTGATTATTTTTATCAGGTTCGAGTTCGAGTTTTAGCTTAATTCTATGAATTCAAGTCGGTTCATGAGCTGGCTCGTTTATTATAAAAGAGGGAATATATTTGATTCAAGCCCCTGTTATAATAAAATGATGAAAACAATTGCTACAACAACAACAAAAAACCTTTATCCCACTAAAGTGAGGTTGGATACATGAATCTTTTTTCTCCATTGCGTCCTATTGAGTGTTATATTTTCATTTAGTTCTAATAAATTAAGATCATTTTTTATACAATATGCCCAAGTTTTTCTAGGTCTACCTCTGTCTTTCTTGGCATACGTCGAATCTAAAACATCTACTTTCCTAATCGAATCATCAGATGGTCGACGTTTAATGTGATCAAATCTAAGACGACTCTCTAATTTTATCCGTCATTGGAGCTACACCAAACCTATCACGGATATATTCATTTCGCATTTTGTCTGTAAATGAAAAGTCACTCATCCACCTAATCTTTCTCATCCCGACAACACTTAACTTAGTTTAATGCTTCTCTTTTAAAGGCTAACATTCAACGCCATAGAGCATTGTAGGTCTGACCACCATCTTATAAAATTTTCCTTTCAGTCTAAGTGATACCTTTCTAACACACAATAGGTCCGAAGCATTCCTCCTCTTCAACCAACCAACTTGAATTCTATTAATAACATCCCCATCTATATCTCCATCACTTTGAACAATAGACCCGAGATATCTAAAGCGTTCACACTTTTTAATAATTTGATCACCCATAGTTACAATTCTGTCACTAAAGCTATTACTATTAAAATTGCATTCCATGTATTCAGTTTTAGTTCTACTCAAACGAAGACCTTTAGACTCCAATATAAACCTACCTAATTCAAGCTTTTCCCGAGGTTTCTCTCTCGTCTTATCCATGAGAAGGATATCATCAGCAAAAAACATACACCAAGGTACATCTTCCTGTAAAACATCCAAGGTACATCCTCCTGTAAATGTCCAGTAAGAGCATCCATAACTAAAGCAAAAAGATATGGGCTTAAAGTTCATCCCTGATGTAATCCTCCTTCTGTTCGAACACAAGTAACACCTCTAGCATACATATCTTTAACGACTTGTATAAGTCATATCAACTCTTTTCTTCTCAAGAACCCTCCAAAGGATATCTCTTGGAACCTTATCGTAAGCCCTTATCGTAAGCTTTTTTCTTTTTTTAAATCAATAAAAATCTTATGTAGATCCTCTTTATTATCTCTGAACTTCTCCATCAAACCTCTCAATGAATGTATGACTTCCATAGTAGACTTGACCGGCATAAATTCAAATTGATTATGAGAAATCTTTGTAATACATCTTAACCTATGTTCAACATCTTAACCTATGTTCAATTATCCTCTCCCATAATTTTAAAGTATGAAACATCAACTTAATTCCTCTATAATTTGCACACTCTTATGCATTCCCTTTATTCTTAAAAATAGGGACTAAAATACTCTTCCTCCACTCCTCAGACATCTTTCTAATTTTGAAAATAATATTAAAGAGTTTAGTAAGCCAAGAAACTCTCAATCTCCAAGAGTTTATTTTTTCTTGCACATTATTATTCCATCGTCAATTATTTTTTTTTGTAGAAAATTTTTCTTTTGATTCTCCAAATACCTCTTTTGCCACTTTTTTATTAGTATTTGTTACTTTATCCCACATAAAATTTGTTTCTTCATGAACATCTCAAATCTTGAAATTTTGAATTTTACTTATAAAATTTATTTTATTTGTCTTTTAGATACCCACTTCTAATTCTACGGCTATAATTCCTAGTATTCTTTATTTTACAACTCTTCATCTTAAAATCTATAACTAATAATCGATGTTGAGTACTTAAATCTTCACTTGGAACGACTTTACAATCTTTACATTCTCAACGATCTCTTTTTTCTCATAAGAATATAATCAATTTGTGTTTTAATAGATTTATTCTTATAAGTAATAATATGTCCATTTCTTTTCTTGAATAAAATATTAGTAATAACAAAATCATATGCTCAAGCAAAATCTAATATAGCTCTGTCTTCTTCATTAATCACTCCAAAACCTCAGCCACCATGAATATTTCTAAAATCTTCTACTACTCTACCAACATGTTCATTTAAATCTCCTCCAATAAAAATTCTTTCTTCAAGAGGTATCAATTGCATTAAGTCTTCTAAGTCATTCTAGAATTTATCTTTAAAACCCATATCTAAACGTACTTGAGGAGCATAAGTAGTTATAATATTAGAAAACATACTATCAACAATAATCTTGAGGGCTATAATTCTATCTTCAATTCTATTAATTTTTACAACATTATCTTTTAAATTTTTATCTATAGTTGCACCTACACCATTTCTAGTGCGACAAATTTAAAACCTAAGTTATCAATCTTAGCATTTTCTTCAACTCATTTAGTTTCTTGAATAGATAAGGTATTTTTCCTTCTATGAATCATAATATCAACCAATTCTATTTATTTATCAATGAGAGTATCTATATTTCAAGATCATTTCCTAATATTAGTTTCATGGACTAACTTCTTTACATGCATCTGTCTGTAATGTGAAATCCCTTGCTTAGTTGGCACTACACCTGGGCGTCGGTGTAGCGGGCGGTGTAGCGGCCGTTGCACACTTTTCACTGTATTTAAGTCATACATCGCATCGCTTCCAGGGAACGCCCTAGCATTTACACAATGATTAAAAGGTTTATGTTATGATTTTTCGACAAATTTTACGTTGGTTGTCAACTACTTAACGCAACCCTCCACTTTTCACACCTAGGGCTTGGGACCAAGCAATGCTAGTGTTAAAAAAAAAATTGCTATCAAAGGACAAATAATAAAATCACTTGATATAAGAAAGTCAAATATATTTTTAAATATTTTTTTTACTTTATACTCAAACACATAAGTTTTACTATAGTTTATTTGCAGTTAATGTAAATTTTTTTATACAAGTCAACTCACAAACTGATGACTCTGGTCATGGCTAGCTCATCAAGCTCAGCTGGTGAGCTATTTATCGAGTTGAGCTTGAGCAGCAGCTCATGAGCCGACTTGGCTCAATTCTGATGGCTTCAGGGCAGTTCTTATTTATTTATTTATTCTTTTCTATCGCAACCTTTACACTCCAAGCTTTGCAATCTTGATATTATCAACATGCGAAGTACTTATTCATTTATTTATGCATTTATTTTTCGTTGCCATCAACAAAGGTTGCAGCTCTGGATGCTCGTTACAAGCTATCTGGATCTGGGGACTGGGAGGTGAAGGTTGCCTTCCTTCAGCTAGCGATTTCATGCGGATGCAAACAATACTTTGGCGAAGTCGAGAGATCTCTGAAGCAGGTGGGAAGGATGAAATACCTCCGCACACTCTACACTGCTCTGGTTCAGGGACCTGCCAAGGAAGAAGGGAAGGTACTCGCGAGAAGAATTTTTACAGAGGCTCGTGAGTTCTATCATCCCATAGCACGAGGTGTTGTTGAATCCATATTTTCTAAGCATTTATAACTTCAATGATTGGCACTGGCATTGATTAATTACCCTACCGATCATGATAATTTTTTTTTAAAAAATTAAGCATGCATCCATTTGTATTATGCTTTGATCATGGTAACCTATTCTATTGATTCTGTGTGATCATTGGGTGGTAATTGGAACTCTTGTTTATAGCTCTATATCGCATGAGGAAAAAGGGTTCAGGACACTGGGTGTGGTTGGTCTTTTCTTAGGAAGATTTACAAACATACCGCGCAATTTCTATGAATTACATGCATAGCTAACACCTAAACCCTTAAGTTTTGCATGCGTATCTCCTTAACTAGGCATGAGGAGGGTGTTTTTCACTCCTAAAATGTTGAAATGGTGATATTTTTGATGTGATGTCAAAGATTTGGGTGGTATAAATGTAAAAACAAAATTGAGGTGTATGTGTAAGTGTAAATACATAAGAATTGAGTGGTATGTATGTAAGTGCCCCTTTTTCTTAACAAGTAGGTGTTTTGAGGATCAGAACGTTGGGGGGTGATTCTGGAATCTGCTTTGTGGCCGTGTTGTGTGAAGTGAAACAGAACAAGTGAGAAATTTGGGCACTAACGTTTTTCTACTTTTATTTATTTATTTATTTATTTTAAAGTTTCTGAAATTGTTATAAGAAAAATGATTTTATTTGAAAATTATAATAGATATTATGATCTTTTTTTCAAGATTATATCAATTGATTAGGAAGTTATGTATATAACACATGAGCTAAATAATTGATTAAAAAACAAATTTATTTGCAATGTGAGGGAATCTTTCTATGTTGTGTGACATGACTCACTTTTTTTTATATTATTAATAAGTTTTAAGCTTTAGGGCTTGTTTAGGGCAGTTGTCGCTTATTCAAAAATAGCTGTGAATCTGTTGAATAATAATCTGATGCTCAAAAAGTTATGACAATTATTATAATTTTTTTAAGTCTGACTGTAGCTAGAAAGCTGCCACTGCACTTAGTCAGGAGTGATGAGAAAACGTAGTTCTCAGTGGTAGCTTTTTGAAAAAGTTACGAAAGTGCAATTTACTAAAAAGAAAAAACTAAGGTATAGTGTCTTACCGAAACCAAACGGACCCTTAGATTGCATTTAAATTTTGTATTTATAATAATTTATTTATGTATGAAAAAAGAAATATTTTAGCTCTAAAAAGTTAGTAATAGTGCTATTTTGCTTGTGAGATTAATGTTTTAAGCCTTGTAAACATAAAAATCAAATTTTGAACTGTTAGATATTTCAGCAGAAAAGAGTTTTATCATACTCATTTAAAATCCCATAAATTTAAGGGTGCTTTTCAACGAAATATAATATATTTAAAAAATAATAGGGTAGTAAAAACTATCCCTAAGATTTCAATTGAATCAAATGAATCTACCAAAAGCCTCTTTAAAAGAGGAGCAGAGCTAACAATTAACTAATGAATCTACAAAAAGCCTCATGAATACCAAATCACAGCCAGTATCATTCAAATGCAATAAATAAAAGTAGGAAAATTCATGTACATACCTCTCAATTGTTAAGTATTTACATATCTACCATTAGTTTAAAATGAACTTTTCATAGCATGCCACCATCAGCTTTACTGCTAAGTAATTAAATACCTATATTGTTCATTTATTGGTTGATGACTATGCACTATTTAAGGAAAGACTCATATTTTGATGTCAATTTTGCTACAAGTTGTATAATCTTCATGCTAAACAATTTTTCATTCACTCCTGGAGATGGCTTTGTTAGAGTATTGTTAGAAAAAAATAATAATAATAGTGCAATCATTATCATTTTAAGCTATGCAAAGTGTAATTACTGAAATATTGGTAGTATGTTATAAGTTTCTTTCTAGATTGTTGGTATATAATTTGTAATTTTGAAGGTACAGTTGAGCTAAAGTTTTTCTTCTCTACTCTATCAAATTTTAAATTGATGTTGCATATAAACTGCAAAATTTTAACTATTATGCTCATTGTTTTGCTCTAATTACTCAGCGTATCATTATGAATTATTCTCTTGTGTTATTAATTTGAATAATTGTGAGAGTAGTTGTGTAAATGTGAGATGGTTTCAATTTCATGTATTTTGGTTGTGTAAATAACATGTCCTGCTTCAAGCGAAAAGACTTGTCTTATTTTTCTTCTATTATATGTTTGTAAGTTAAAACTGATATTCATGCTCATGGAAGTGTTAATTATCAACAATCTGTTATTTTTAAATTAAGTTGTCTTTTTGTACTCTATCATTCCAGCTAAATCGTTTCTATTTTATTACATATCATTAGTAATTTGCATTGAATCATATAATAGATTTTTTTGTGAACATGTAGTGCATGTGTGATTAAAATTCAGAAATGGATTCAATGACAAATTTGAATGACTATTTATATGTAACCATTAAAATTGATAGCCACTAGTTGTAAGTTAAAAGTGAAGAGAGGAAGAAATATGATATATGGAGGTAAGCAGATAAATATCCAGCATGAGAGAAGTCAGATGAATCTTCATTTTGTTAGTTGTTACAACATGAGATAGTGGTGATTTGTGCTTAGCTAGATTGACATCAATTCCAGTTATTTTATCATATCAATGACACTTCACCAAAATAATACACACTGCTTGGAAGTGATGCTAATGTTATAGAGATGATCGCAAGTACTACGGGGAGTGATAGAGTTGAGATTGTTGTCATTGCTTAAGATAGAGAAGAAGTTATAGTATATTTCTATGTTAATGTTTGTGACACAATTATAGTTGGTTCCTGCAATCCGTCCGATGACATTCGTGGTGAATACGTTTACCACGGGGATAGTACCAATTTTGTAATTGCTGCACAATTTCATGATTTTATCACCTTCAAACAAGCACTCCGATCTCTTGTTATAAATAGTAATTTTGGGGTAAAAATTCATTGCATAAATATAAATCAAGTAGTAGTAGTTTGTTTTCATAGAGGTTATTTCTATAGTGTATGAGCATTTATATGTGCTGATAGGAAATATTTTGATACTAAAACATGTATGCTTAGTTTTAATATATCACGTAATAAACAAGTAATTTCATCTTAGGTTGCTCAATAAATTGAAAATATTGTTAGAAAGTATCTTGACATCTTTTTGAAGGACATCAATAATAATTTGGATAGTATGTATGGGCTATCACTATCAGACATAAAATTGTGGAGGTCCAAAGAAGAAACTCGTTCTACTATTTTTTGGTTTTGTTGATGAGAATTATAGATAGATGCATGCATTACTGTCATAATTGGTTAATATAAATCCTAGCTCATACATCATATGATTGCAACGAACATGATGGCTCTTTTAAGAGGTTTTATGTTAGTTTTAAAGTTTGTATTTATAAATTTTTTTACTGGTTGCAAGCATTTGATTTACTTGGATCCTTGCTACTTGAATTCAAAGTACTTAGGTGTTCCAGTTGCATGAAATTCAATGGATGGCAAGAACAAAATCTTCACTTTAGCTTTTGCAGTTGCTGAATCTTAATCTGAAGGAAATTAGAAATGGTTCTTATAATTTGTCAGCTTTATTTGGCTCCGAGTTGCATCATCTCTCATTTATGTCATTAATGGAGGTCTTAGGGGAGGCAATAAAACTCATTTTTCTCGATGCAATGAATAGGATTTGCATTTGACATCTTTGGAAAAACTTAAAAAGAATTATTTTCATTGCAACGATAAATACTGGGTGTGAGAGTTGGTATGGTCAGTTGCTGATACATACACTAGAACTGAATTTAATCACAATATGAATGCATTGTATTCATTTTACCTATAGCCTTATTCTCATTTACTTGTTTTGTTGTATAACCGGTATACAAATGCTTTTATGGTTGAAATAAAAAATGATAACAACACAAATAACATAGTTGAACCATTCAATGCTTAGATTAATTGAAGGTTGTAGTAGTAAGTCAGTGGTTGATTTAGTGAACATGATGAGAGTCATGCTTATGGAATGAAGAACTCACAGGAAAGTGAAAGCATCTAAGTGGCAAATAGAGTTGATTCCACATGTTGAAGACTATATATGAGAGAAAACTAATATGAAAGAACAACTCACAAGAAGAGATTTAACACCACAAAAGGCAGAGATGGTGGATTGTAGTTAACAATATGAAGTAGATATATAAAGTTGAAGCTGTTGTTGTAGAATATAACAAATGACTGGATTATCATATATTCATTCAGTGAAATTTATTTGAAGCAAAGAACATCCTCTATGACATACATATGTTCATGAGAGCTATTATATCATTAGGTATGGAGTTCATTTTATTACATTTGCCATTACTTGATTCTTAGATTAAAATTTTCAATCCCTCTAAACTATAGGTACAAAATGACCATTGCCCCATCTCAACACTTCTAGATAAGAATGAATGGAGTGCAGTGGACAATAGTATATACATGCGTGCACTGAACAGTTTGAGGCCACGAGTCTGACAAAAAAAAAAGAGATTTAAAAAATTCTTAAAAACACTGAGAAAGTCAAGTGGTCATAAATGTAGGCATTGTGGTCTTCAGAGCCATCACAAGACATCATGCAAAAATCTCATTTGTCATAGAAATTCACAACTATCAAAATCAGATTGTGGCATTGTCTTCTGAACCCAAACAAGTGATAATCGTGGATTTAGTGCAAAATTGCCGATAAAACAGGAATGCAAGAAGTTAAGCAATTCTTTGTAGATTGCATAAATTAACATTTTTGGATTATAACTCAAAAAAAAATTTTAATTTTGGGAGAAGTGGCTTGACATTGTTCAGAGAAGTTATTGAAATTCGTGATTCATGTATAGCCTTCTATTTTTGGTTTTTTGTAGTGCTAAGTTTTTAATTTAAGTGGGTTTGTTAGATCTATACGTTATTCTACTAACCAATTTTGCATGTAAGACAAAATTTCCTTAATACAACTTAGGAACCACATCTATAAAAACCCAAGCTCACCTTTTGAGGAGGTGATATAAGGCTCCATTAGCAACTTAGGTGGATTAGGTACAACTACTTCACTGCAGTTTAGTGTAATTGTTTAATATTGATACGTACATATTCCAACCATATTCTTATAATGTAAACGACAAGTTGTGGCTTGACTGGTGAAATTATTAGAAGTT